GTGAATCTAAATCCATGTTCCGCAGGATCTCGTGGAGATAAGTCGTTTGAAACCAGATAAATTTGGTTTTCAGTGGCCATTAACATCAGCATCACCATCTCGAATTGATAAAGACATGATTGATGGATTTCCAGGCGAGGAGGGAGGGCTAAAAGCGCGCAAGACTCAGGGAAATCACCAAGTCAGTACGAAGAAGTTTCGGGAGGGTTCGATCAAGTGGAAGGATTGAAACGTCCAGAGTAGAGTCACGTTGGAATTAGAAATATCTTAGACACGTTCGGAGGGATTCAGAGGCGGTCTTCACTATTTTCCGATACGTAAAGTACAGATGGAATGGCTGGGGAAATCCTCGTGGTTGAGAGACTCAACGATATCGGATTGCAGATTGTGGGGGCTTTTCTACTCACATTCATGTCGGAAAAAAAATCGGTGAATTCAAACGATTTTATTCTAAAAGCTCAGAAAGCTTCGGGAGGATTTTCGCGGGTTAAAAAACGCTACAATCGAGATTTTCACACTTTGAAAGTTTAGTTTTCTGCTGTTCTGCTTGCGAATGGAAGCATTGTAATCGTTCTATTTTCAGGATTTCTCATTTTGATTGGAAATTATGTAGAGTAATCCGAAACGTAAAAATACGAAATTTGTTAACTTTTACAAAATTGAAGAATTAAAGGTCTAAAATGATTTTAAATTGCTCAATCAATCGAGCCGTTTTTAAGAAATCGCCATTTGTTTTTAGTAACGGGTGAAAAAAATTAATCGAGGCTTTTAGAAATGCCGGCAATCTTTTAAATGGTAAATTATTAATTTTGTGATCATTTTGTGTAAATTATCATTTTACAGAAGATCTTAACAGAATAACTTTTGTAAAAAAAATTAAGATAATGCAGTTTTTCCGACTGAACATATTTCTATTTAAAAAAACACAGGGAAAATCTGCCGGATTCACACATTGTTAGCAAAAACACTTGAAATTTCAGAGATACTTTAATAATAATTTTCAGAATGACAATATTCAATTCAATTCGAAGCAGTTAAAATCGCGAAACTTCAAATTTCACTGATAATTCAATGAAATTACAAATTTCTTAGCAGCAGGAAGACGAGAAAATCTTAACTTACTTGGAATTGCAAATGAAACATGAATAATTAGTACAAAATTACCCTTAATCTTCAATTAGTTGCTACATCTACTGCAATTTTCATGATTTTTATTACTTTGCGTGGAATAATTGATCTGAAATCCACAGTTTTCATAGATTTTTTTCTCGAATTGTATTGACTTTACACTGATCAAATTCCTTGACGTGTCAGTGGGGCTGTCACTTGATAAAAATTCCAAGCGGAAATATAACAAAAAAACAACTAATTTTCCGGATTTGTTAGCAAATGTTATATTTACTATAAAATCGTCTCACATGTCAGAAGTCCGTTTTCCTCTCGTGTTACTCTAGTTGTTTGCAAAAAAAATGATCAAAAAATGGCTGTTGAGTGAGCCACTACATCCAACCGAATGAATATCGCCCCAACTTCATACGGTGAAAGTACGGCGTCGCTAACACAGTTTGTTTGAGTAACATAATTTTCCCGAGAATTAGTTGAACTTGTTCTACGTTAATTAGCAAAATTTGCAACACGGAGTATAAACCAGTTAATCCACAAACTCTCTACGGATTTTTTGACGACTCACTGCGATCAGAAATTCAGTACCATAGGAGTAAAAAAATTTGAGAGAATCCATTTACTGCACTGTGACGTCTGAATTCATAAAAATTCATTATCAAGCTGAATTGGGGACTGAACTCTTCAACACCTCTGGGAGAACTCAGACATTGTTCCGCACATTTAGGCGCTCTCTCTCTCTCTCTCGGTATTACATTTGATGCCAGTGATATTCCACCGACTTTATGAAAATTTATGTCGTTCGTACGTGCACGGAATACCGACAACTGCATCGGGAATCCAGGGGCACTTGGACTGTGGTGGAAATTTTCCCTTCGGAATAAGAAAACTTTTTCATGGTCCAGCCCTTCAGAATTTTTGCGTAATTCTGCGAGTCGGGGAGAACGAATGTTGTCAGTTATAAAATAACAATTCATTTGGATGAATAAAAAAGAAAATTGAAGGCGTCGTAATTTGAGCTGTTTTTTGTTGTCTGAAAACAAGATATTTTCGTAATTTTTCTTCTCTTATTGTTTTATAACAGAGTAAAAATTTGTGCTTGAGGATTAATGAGTGTTTTTATCACATATTTATGAAGTGAGAGATATATTAAAAAATTTCGTACTGAAATTTCGGAATATTTCTGAGAAATTTGAACCAAATAAGGGTTCCACTGAAATTTAAAGGAATTCCGTGATTGAAAATGCGTAATTCGATTTTAAAAAATCAATGGAAACTGGAAAGTTCATGAAAATTTATAGACGTCGAAGGAATTTCGGCAACGATTAGCGTGAATATTTAATCAATTAACAATACGTAATTCAAACTCAAGTAAATCTGAGAATTCTCGTCTTCCTGTAACTGAAAAATTTGGCATTTCGTCGAATTTTCGATATAATTCTCTTTTTATTGGACCACGGGCCTTCAAATACCGCAGTTCCATTGGTCGGCAGTTTGATGTGGAAAATAATCAGTAAAATTTGGAATTTCATCACATCTTCCCCCTAGACTGTCCACAGAATGCAACCTTTTCCCAAAAAGTATGAAATCACTGCAAGATCAAACCGCTTTTCATTTCAATTAAACCCCCTTTAATCACTCACCACGATTATTACGCGATTGGTGTTCCGCCAGGACCATAAATTTCCCGCCACCCCCTATTTTTATTATTTCTCCCTAACTGCCATAAATTCTCTGAGTACAGAAAGCAACCTCCGATCTCCGCAATTTTTATTTCCCGGAAAAGTTGTTCAATTTCCCGTGGGTCTGTCCTCAGTAAATGAAGAGCAAGAGCCCTCAGCTGGTGTATTTCTTGTTGAGCACTGAAAAAACGGTATATGCACTTCATGGAGTCAATATAGCTACGACACGACATGATCCCATCGTCGCATTCTGCCTATAACCTCCGTCATACATATTCTAGTGGGTTTACTCACCCTCAGGAAGTGGCAGAGTCGATCCCCATTCCCCCAAATGCCCAACGGATTTCAGAAATCTTTCCACTGATGAAAAGAGCTCAACTCCATTCAAAGCGTCATCTGCTCGTCCTCAATGGAGGATTGAATGTGTTTTTTTTGTGTTTTTTTTATGTTATTCCGTTTTTTCGATCATTAATTCTGGTTATGGAGAGAGAAATCCTTTGGAGAGAGAGAGGGGCTGGGCAGACGAGGGGGGAGGGGAGGGGATGATGATGTGCTTAGGTTAGAAAGCTTCGTTGGACCTGGCTGGTGGATCAAGGCCAGCGAGCCTGTGTCAACACTTTCAGGATGTGTATCGATATAATACAGTACTGAGTGTTGACGTCGACACTTGAATCTCAATGAGGGAACGGCGGATGCAATGGCTCTGAGCGGTTGTATTTTTCAGGGTGTAATGCATCTCAGGGTATGGAAGGTTATGATAATAAATATTGGAATAACAAATTCGACAAATGTATGGGTGATAGGGGGTGGGGAAGGGGAGATGAAATATTCAGTTTTATGGAGGTGCTGGAACTTCAGTGGTGATGATGGCGTGAGATGGAATGTTGTGTTTAGGGCAGGTTGCACCGAGCGCGGTTAAATAAATCCCCAGTTGACGGTGGGTTATGTCATAAGGTTTACATTGAAACAATATTTGACACAATTGTCTGGATAGCTAATAGGGGAGTTCCTAGAAACATGTTGAAAAAAAGGGTTTTGTGTGAAAATCGCAAAAAACAAACTCTGCGCACTTCTACTAGCCTCAAGTACGTTTCCGAGGGGTTGGTAATTTTTTATGGGATTGGAGGAGTCCCTAGAAACATCACCCAATAGAAATAGTTTGGTTTTTTTGGATTTATCATGTTGAAAAAAAATGGTTTTGTGTGAAATCGTAAAAAAATAATTTTTCACCCTTCTACTACCCTCAAGTACGTTTTCGAGGGGGTTGATAATTTTTTATGGGATTGGAGGAGTCCCTAGAATCATCACCCAATAGAAATAGTTTCGTTTTTTTGGATTTATCATGTTGAAAAAAAATGGTTTTGTGTGAAATCGCAAAAAACAAACTCTGCGCACTTCTACTAGCCTCAAGTACGTTTACGAGGAGGTTGATAATTTTTTATGGGATTGGAGGAATCCCTAGAAACATCATCCAATAGAAAATATTCGATTTTTTTTAATTTTTCATGTTGAAAAAAAAATTGTGTTCGGTGAAAATCGCAAAAAACTAACTTTTCACGCTCCTACTACCCTCGAGTAGAGGGGTTGGGGTAAAATGGACACTTTTGACTTTTTTTTAAAGGTTAATGACGGGTTGAAATGTTGATAAAATTCAAGAATTTTTTTGTAATTGCAAAGAACAATTCTTTCCCTTTGTGATGAGCCTAAACTGAGCTCAATTGATAAATTTGTTTCTCAGTTGTGAGTAATTAAAAAAAAAGTCTAACGTTTCCATTTTACCCCTCTCCCCTACGTTCTCACGAAATGAGAATAATCCCGCCATCTCTCAACGTGCCGCTGCACTAGAACATTCGATCAGTAGACTTTTTCAGAGAATCTGCCCGTCCGTGAATTTGACCGCAAATTTCCGTGCCGATCTGTTCCACCGCCCCCGTACTGACGGCATTTTCCCTAGAACGTCTCCAAATAGAATGTGTCCATCTGAGGTTGTCCTAACGCCCCCCCCCCCCCC